AAAAGGGACATTGGTGCTTGCCAGGTTTTGACCTCGCACCCTTTACTATGCATGAGATGTGAGCATCTTAAATTCCGGTATAGATTTATAGACCTGGGATATGTATTATGTAAACACCAAAAATCCGAACGTGCAAATATGAAACTAAACTAATTTATTCTAATAAAACCTGGCTATAAAGCAGTGTGGTTCAAATGTGAAAACTTGGCTAATTTGCATGTAAAAAGCGATGAAAAGCTTGGCATGCAGATCGATACCCTGTAAACAGGCCACGACTTGATTATACTGTGTTGGCACAAACCTTTCCGTCACTCTTTTTCATTTAATGACGTCACGAACTTTATAGGTGCCTGATGCGATTCGCTGAGAGGAACATTAAACCTTTTTTTGAGCGCCATCTGCAAAACAAACACGTTGATAGCTAAGCAAGATTAAATGTCAAAATCCAACGACCGATAAAGTGATCGTTTGAAACGTTTTTTTTGAGCTAGTATTTTAGTAAATATACATTTTATAATTTCTGAATGTTAAAATTTTATATATAAAAAAGAATTGCTGTTCGTTAGTCTTGCTAAAACTCGAGAAGTGGTGGCAGTCTTGAAATATTTCTGGATATACAGGAAAGGTTTAAAAAAAGGTCAGAAAAATGACAAATTAATTAAAAAAAAATTGAGGCGGTATGAAGTTTGCTGAGTTAGTTAGTTAAAAATAAAAACTAATTATTGTGACTAAAACCAAAATACAGATGATCTGATAAAGATTGTAGGGATAGTTTAATGCAGGTTGTTTCAATCATCAGTCAGTCAGTTTTTGGGGAGGGCTTATGTTTAAGACATCTTGAAGCTGAAACTAAGAGTTTTCATGTAAATTTGTTCCATTTAATCTTATCTTAATCTTAAGATAATGTACCTCAACCAACTCTAAAGCCGATTGTTTAACTCTTAACAATCTTTCCAGTCCATAGACTTCTTTAGCAATGTACCTAGCAAAGTGTCAATAAACTCTTAAGTAGGTAGAGACGACGTAAAACTTTGCAGACAACTTTTTGTTAGGCGATAACAATGAGAAATATACAATCGTAATAATTGAAAAGAGTTTTGTGTGTGACTGCCTCGCTGTAATAAAATGTTTTGGACGCCATTCCCTGATCGAACAAAGTTTTATTAGGTTTTTCTTTTCTTATTGTGAGGTTATTATAGAATGTAAGGTGGCCTTGAACTTGTATAAAATAAAAATATTGTAGTGAAAAGAGGAACTATATTTTTATAGTCTGTGTCAAAAACGATATTATTTATAACTTTCTTCAAAGAGAGTCAAAGTCAAAGTCAAAAGTCAAAATCATTTATTTCAATAAGACCCATACAGACACTTTTGAACGTCAATGTCCTACGTAGAGGTAGGAACATAAAAATAAGGAAACTGAATAAGTATATCGGTAGGTACCTAGTATGAAAACTATGTGCAGAATCTTTATTGACAATATAAGTATCATATAGACAGGCAGCAAAAAATATATATACGGACGCACCTGATGGTAAGCAATCAGCACTCCTCGTGTATTGGCTGGTACTGGCCACAGCAGACAATTTACAATTGCGTTGCCGCTCTTTCGGGGGTCGTAAGGTATTAAAGGATTGTGGAAGGGGAGAGATAGAACTGCATCTCTTGTAATCTAACTTACACGACGAAACAATACGACTTTAGTTTTCACTGATTTAAAAACCTTAAGAAACACAGCAGTTTTCAGTTTTATAATACGTCCTCACATTTTTCTTCCTTACACTACACTTACACTATTTAGACTTGCTTTTTGTTAGGTTTTGACTTTCCCCTTGATATTGAAATTGAAAATGACACATTAACACCCTGCTTTTATCTGATGCCATCAGGATCCGAACAAAGGGTATCTCCTAAATGAAATTTCCAGCCAGGCCGTTTCTATTCATTTGGTTAGTGAGTGTTCAATCAAATGCTCGATAGCGCTGTACTGGGTCCAAGAAGGTTTCTTATCATTCGATACTGGCCGCTTTTACTATAATTGACTTCAGGTTATTGACGCCAAAGGGTCCAACGGTCCTTGCATTTTTAATAAAAGAATAATTGCTTTTCATTTGTTATGGTGAACAGGCTTTAGAATTTCAAATTAATCTAGTACGCGCATAGCGTGTGTGGCTTATGAACTATGTAAAGCAGGACTACGTACTTACGTGTTTTTTACATAAATTTTAATTATTTTCCTTAAAATATATACCTTCTATGGGTAAAATACACGTTGTTATATTTGCTTCTTTTTAATGATTATCACAATATTTTTTTTGTGATAGGACGGCAAACTATCATACGGATTACCTGATGGTAATCCGTATCCGTATCGGCGCTACTTATGGACATCCACAACACCAGAGGAGTTACGAGTGCGTTGCCGGCTTTTTGGGGATTAGGGTTTCAAAGATATAGGGATTGGAGGACGGAAAGAAGGATTGTAATATAAATGAAAAACAAAATATACAGACTTGATACGTCCATTATAAAAACAGCGCTAAATTACTCAAGAGACGGTGCCTTTTCACGTAATCTTGAGGATAGCACATTATGAAAGCGGTATAAAATATAAGATTTTCTGAAAAGGAATCCTTTTGAATGGTCCTTGATTGAATGAATCCTAAGGCACTAAAACTCAACCTTTTTGTATAAATACGTACCTATATATTTGGTTTTTATTTTAGAAATTGTGTCTATGATTAGATTTACTCATAGATACTTAATGGTAACTTAAACCTATCTTTGCAATTGGGTAGTTTGTTGGCCGCAAGGAAATTATTTCAAGTTATAATGTTATAAAAATAATTACTTTACGATATACTTAGTGTTTGTATTTTTTAGGTTAGGATTAGCAGAAAAAAATTGTGTCACAACCTGCTATTTCATAGACAATTCATAATAAAGATATCCTTATTCAAATTTCAATATAGGTATGGAATTTATATAATTGGAAACAATTGTATTGTTCTGGAAAAAAATCTTTACTTACTAAGAAATAGTTAAAGTAAGCATTTAATGTCTCAGAGTACGACTGTGAGTTGTGTAGGAAGTAAGAAGTTCAATTAAGTTTGGTCTCTCATCAGTTGAGGTTGAAGTGGGTTCGTAATTAGGTACAGCAAGACGACACATAGAAACACTGTGATGTAACCAGTTCTTCAAGTGTGGTTGTGATCGCTAGGTGTCTTGATTTGTCGTGTTTCTATTTGATTATTTTATTGTAATACTACTCTGTCAAGAAAGTACCGGGAAAAAGAAGAAATGTCAATAATACACAAAATGTTTGTTATTCATCTAAATTTATTTTATCACCTTCAAAGTATGCTCCTTCAGAAACGATACACTTACGCCAACGAATAATCCAATCATCGAAACTTTTTTTAAACGCTGTTTCCAGAATTGAGTTCAGTGCTCGCCGCGAATTCTCCTTTATGTCTTCTAACGATTGAAAACGGATGCCACGAAGGGGTAATTTGAGAGTGGGAAAAAGAAAGAAGTCGGCTGGAGCCATATCTGGTGAATAAGGTGGCTGCTCGATGGTGTTTGTTGAGTGTTTGGACAAAAAATCGTTTACAATGATGGCCTTGTGCGAAGGCGCATTATCGTGATGCAAAATCCAAGAATTTTCTTTCCACATTTCTGGCCTTTTTCGTCGAATTTGTTCTCTTAAAAGCCGCATAACGCTCAAATAATATTCTTTATTTACCGTTTGACCTTCGGGCAAGAATTCTGAGTGCACAACACCGCGATAGTCAAAGAAAACAGTCAACATGACTTTGACTTTTGATCGACTTTGACGTGGTTTTTTCGGTTTTGGTTCAGTTGGAAGGCGCCATTCCGAAGCTTGTTGACTAGTTTGCATGTCAAACTCGTAAACCCACGTCTCGTCACCAGTAACAATGCGTTTCATGAATGTTGGGTCGGTATTGACTCGTTCTAGCATGTCCTCAGCGACTTTCATGCGATTTAGTTTTTGAAGAAAATTCAGGTCTTTTGGGACTAGCCGAGCGGCAACACGTTTCATACTCAAATTATTTGTTAAAATGGTACGGATGGACTCGTGAGATACAGAAAGTTCGGCGGCCATCTCTCTCAAACTTGAATGAGGATTTTCAGTCACTATTTCCTTCACTTTTGCGATGTTAACTTCAGTTGCAGACGTTGATGGCCTACCAGAACGAGGCAAATCTTCCATCACATCTCGACCGCTTTTGAACGCTTTGTACCACTCATAAGCACGTGTTTTTGATAAAGTCGATTCACCGTAAGCCTTCTGTAACATTTTGAGTGCCTCCGAACACGAAATTTCATTGGCGATGCAAAATTTATGACAAACTCTTTGTTCGATGTTTTTGTCCATTATGAAATTCGCAATACACACTAGATATTATAAAACTAAAAACAGCACTGTTTTTAATATAAATAACAGATGCAACTCAAATTCCGCGCGAAAATGGAAAACAGTTATGCCAATCTAACAACAACAAAAAAAATTAAAATTCGAATTTGGAACCATAAAAAAAACATTCATTCCCGATACTTTGTTGACTGAATGTATAAAGGTTTTGGTTTTAAACACGCATGCACAATAACATAGTGCTTATTGGTGTAGTACTGACATAGATTTTAGAAGTATTTTCGTTCAGTTTTTCTATCGTCAATAATAGACCCACGTGGGCGCCAATAACCGCTTACTACTTTTTGAAATGTTTTGTATTGATCACTAGACACTTTCACGCGTTTTCTCGGTGCGCACCTCTATTTGTGGTAGCGTGATGTTTTATTACCTACATAGTTTTCCTCGATAACTTGTCCGATAACTTGGCCACACAACACAAAAAGAATAGTTCAAATGCACTAGTAATTCTGGATATCAGCGCGTTCAAACAAAAAACAAACTCTTTAGTGTTATACTATTTATGTATATATTTGCTATTAAAAAATACTCGTCTTTTATACAGAACACGGCACATCACATTTGTGGGGTGCCAACAACAGTCGTCGCGGTTGGAGTCGCAAGCGCACCTCAGCGCCACAGATGAGCAACGTTCACGGGTCTATGCCGCGGGTGGCGCTAGTGTTGCGGTCTCGACGGAGCTGGCCTGTTGCACCACAGTCATGTAGAAGGTAAGTAATAGTATTAAAATATATTTAATATAATTATCATTTTATGGTTATCTACGAATGATGACATGAAAATTTAAATGAATGATTTTTTTTTGTATTGCTACTATCGTGAGACAATTTGTTAAAAATAACGACTTACTTACTTGAAACTATAAGAGGTTTTCTCCGTTAATTCACGTGAACGAGTTAATTATTTTTGATCTGAATTTTATAAAAATTGGCTAGGTAAAACATATTCTTTTAAATGATTATAAAAACATTGAAATATACTTATAGTTAATTGTCTCTCTCAATGTTGCCCTGTTAATAAATACAGAGCTAGAGACAGCTACGTAAAAATACGATGGTTTTATGATATAATTCATGAAGATGTTTCAGAACCTTTTTATCTGCAGTTATTAAATTTTCACACCAAAACAATTTATTTTGTAAATAAGATTAAAAAAAATAACATTAGCGACATATGTAGGTATACAATAAAACGAGTATCATCGACTTAATCCTACTTTAAAGTCAAGGAGGTTGGAAGTTGCCAAGAAAGCTGGCTGGATATAGCGCGTTAGTAAGCGCTAAGTAAACGCTTTTCTAACTAAGTATGTGTCGTAGACGTTTTAGTGTTAAGTTCTGAATTCAAATTTTATTTGGTCCGTTTTATTTTAGTTTTTATTAATTCAGTGTATGTTAGCAATTTGTATGCTTTAGTCTGAATGATTTATAATTTTTTGGCATATTTTACTGTAAACAAAATGACAAATAATGGTACATAAGGTGGATTCTTCTAATGTAGTAAAATGTTATATACCTATTATCTGGCCAATGGCATAAATTAATTGGCATAACAAGTTATTCAAACAAACCACTTTTTACTCCAATTTGTCACGCAATTTATGTTTTTATTAGTAAAATAGTAAGAAATCATAATATAACAACCTTTATACCTACTGTTCATTTTAATTCTATAATTTTCTATTGCAGTATGTCAAAAAAAAAGTCAAAAGTCAAAATTATTTATTTCAATTAGACCCATACAGGCACTTTTGAACGTCAACACAACTTTAAAGATACAAAGTGTCAGTCTGTCGGTCAGTCCTCTTAGTGAAGCTATTCGCTCGTTCCAAAGTGTAGATTCCGATGGAGAAGAACGAGCAAGAAACTTCTACACATTATATATCACATTATTTCTTAAACATTCTTTGATACATTATTTCGTTAGTTTGAATATGTGAGAACAGTGTAACGCGTGTATACAGAGAAACATAAAAAGAAAATAACCTTAAGGACAATAGACAGTCCGGAGCTGACCAGTCCCAATTGACGGCGCCCGTTCACGAGCATGACGCGTACACCAGCATCGCCCAACTCAACCATAATATAGGGAATCGAGCGATCCAGTGACCGTGCACCGCCAATGTGACCTTTGAGTGAGCATGACAACTCCAAGCTGACATATGGACCGACATTCTGCTAGTCTAACTAATTTTAATAGGTTACAGGGCACTCACATTTACAAATTTATCAAGTTTAACAATAAAAATAGCATGGTTACAAATTTACAAAATCTAAGAACTTCCGTTCAAGCAAAGATCCACTGGAACATTATTTATATTCGTGTAGGTATATTATCCTGTGGAGCAGGACCAGCCCGTCTCCAAGCATCCTTATCCTCAATATAATCACTCAGTTTGTAATATGCTTTTTTACACAAAGTTTTCTTTATACATAATTTAAAATTTCTTTCATTTAATTGTTGTATTTCGCCTGGGATTTTGTTATAACACTTAACGCTGAATCCCATGAACGACTTGTGTACCTTTGCCAATCTAAATAATGGCTGACACAATCTATCTCTATGTCTAGTTTGGTAATTATGTCTGTCTGATACCTTATCAAATAATATTAAGTGTTTCCTAACATACATTATATTTTCATAAATAAACTGACCGGGCACAGTCATTTAGTTTAGTTGTAAATTGCTCTGATTGCACGCTTTTGCAAGACAAATATAGACTCAATGTCAGCAGCCTGTCCCCACAACAAGATGCCATAGACATAATGCTATGAAAGTAGCTGAAGTACACCAGTCTTGCAGTGTCCACATCTGTTAGCTGTCGGATCTTCCAGACAGCAAATGCTGCAGAACTCAACCGTCCTGCCAGAGATGTGATATGGGGCCCCCATTGTAGTTTTTCATCTATGGTTATACCCAGAAAAGTAGTCTGTTTTACAAATTCCAATTTCTTGCCGTTTAATAATATGTCACATTCGTTACTTTTTACATTTGGTAAACTGAATCGTATACACTTTGTCTTTTTGTCGTTTAGAACTAAATTATTAACTGTAAACCAGTTATGAACCTTCGTAATAGCATTATTTACTTCGTCATAATTATTTGTCCGTCTATTTATTTTAAAAATCAACGATGTGTCATCAGCAAATAATACCATTCCCGGTTCTCGCTGAAATAAATGAGGTAAGTCATTTATGTAGACCAAAAATAGGAAAGGACCTAATATCGAGCCCTGTGGTACGCCCATAGATATGCTAGCACCCTGAGAATTAACTTTATTTACCTGTACTTTAAGCTGCCTATCCTGGAGGTATGATTTTAATAAATTGAGTGAAGCCCCTCGAATACCATAGTGTTCCAACTTTAGCAACAGTGTCTCGTGTTCGACGCAATCAAAAGCCTTGGACAGGTCACAAAAAATTCCAATAGCGTCGTGCAACTCCTCCCACGAGGCAAAAACACGCTTAATTAAAGTTACACCGGCGTCAGTTGTGCATCGACCTTTGGTGAACCCATATTGTTGATCATGAAAGATGGAATTCATGTTAAAGTGACGCAGCATCTGAGAAAGCATCAGCTTTTCAAACACCTTACTAAGCACCGGTAAAATAGATACCGGCCTATAATTATTAGGATCGGTATCATCGCCAGATTTAAACAGTGGAACTACTTTGCTATGTTTCATCAAATTTGGAAAAACTCCCTGATCTACACTTCTATTGTAATTAAAGCTAAATGAGGCGCTATAGCTTCTATAAAAGCCCTACACACTGCAACAGACATTCCCCAGAGATCCTCTGTAGACTTAACTTTAATGTCTTTAAACGCCTTTATTACTGATTGGGGGTTTGTGTACTGAAATAGACTAATTGAAAGTGCCGGAGATGATTCTAAGTCCTTTGTAGTTTCAATGGGGATATTCTTGAAAAAAATTTCAAATTCTTGTGCAACTTCCCGATTTACACTAACATGTCCATTTCCGGTATTTAAATTAATTTCCGTGTTATGCAATTTATGTCTGCCTGTCTCATTGTTAATTATTTTCCATGTAGCCTTTGTTTTATTTTCAGCGTTCTTAATCTTACGGCTAATGTAAAGAGATTTTGCTTGCTTACAGACCATTTTAAATATTTTTGCATATTTGGACACATGCTTGCTAAAGGCTTCGCTTGTATTAAATGGTTTCATACCATATAGTTCAAATAACTTTCCCCTACTTCTACGAATACCGGGGGTAGCCCAGTCACAGAATACAAATTTACATTCAATGATTTTACGTTTTAAGGGGAATAATTTATCAAATTGGGTTTTAATAATGGCCAGTAAGTTGGCATAAATCTCACTTGGACCTTCATAATCATGTGATGGGCTGCATAATATTTGCTTTAAATTATTATGTAATGACTCAACTTTTTTATCCGTGATATGTCTAAACATTATTTCCTTTTTTGGCACCGTTGTGATGTTGTTTAAGTTTATTGTTAACCCACTGTGATCTGATGGTAAGCTATTAACAATATTTTTGTGCAAATAATCACAGTTACATAATATATTATCTATACATGTAGCCGAGGTGGATGTTACTCGGGTGGGCTCAAGGAATACATTAGACAAATCAAAAGATTTAAAAAGACTTACTAAATTAATACAATTAGAATTGTTTTCCAAGAGATCAATATTAAAATCGCCACATACTATTGTAAATTTACTGTTCGAACACGTTTTCTGCAACACTTGTTCCATAACAGAGTTAAAAACGTTTAAGTTTTGTAAGTTTGGAGGTCTATAAACGCATATCACAACATGCCCATCCAGCTCTACACAGGACAATTCTATTGTATGTTCAATGGAAAGTGAAGTTATATCTTGTCTTTCTTTATACTTAATTGAGTTTTTTAATAAAATTAAACTACCACCATGAATCATTGCTTGACGGCTAAAGAAACTACCAACACAATAGTTTTTAAAACTCATAAATTCTACTTGATACTTCTTCATCCAATGCTCTGTTATACAAATTATGTCAAATTTAAATTTTTCTAAAAATAATTCCAATTCTAGTAATTTGGATGAAATGCCCTGAATATTTTGACTAAGGAGTGTAATATTTCCTTGTTTGTGTTTATTATATAATATGCGGCGAGAAGAAACCTTTTGATAATTTGTAGTATGAGAATTCATTAGGTTATCTTCTGTTGTCTCAAAATTTAATTTAAAAAATTATCTGGAGTGCTACCCACATTTGTCCCTAAATGTTGAGTCTCCGTCGTACTATTATATGTACAATCAATCACTACATTATTAGAATGTCTAAATAATATAGTTTCGTCACTTAATACTAGATTAATAATATTTGCTAGAAGGTTAGCAAGTAATACTTTACATTTTCTAGGAATTAACAAAGACTTCCTAGTCAATTTAAAACTACTAACAAATTTGTTAGTGTCAAAAAACAATAAATTGTCACTATGACATGTCAAACTGAATATCATATCATTATGGTTTGCAATATGTGTAGAAATGTTGTTTTTCGATTTAATTAGGTTTATATTATGTTAAAAGCAGATACAGATTTTACGATATGACACAAGCAAATATAATAAATGGTAATAATGTAAACATTGGGTGTCTGTCTGGCAGATAGAAATAGATGGCGGAGAGTAATACGCAGTACACTGCTTCCACGAGGTGGTCACGACCCTCAGCACTGAGGAAACCGACGCGAGGAGGAGGAGGAGGGTGTCTGTCAGAATTAGATCTACCAGATGTTATTCTTGATAAATCTGGGACAACATTAGCAACAAAGTTGTCACTGCATTAGTTCTGTTACTTACTGTTGTAAAATTCTGAAAAGGCTCTGCATGCATTGAAACGTGGTGGCCGCGAGGTTAAGGCGCCCGCTCCTCATGCATGAGGGTGTGGGTTCGGAACCGGGCAAGTACCAATATGACTTTTTCCGAGTATATATCTCGGAAAAAGTCACTTTCTATGATTATTTAGACACCACTGACATACGGTGAAGATAAACATCGTGAGGAAACCTGGACTTATAATTTCTAATTATAAGTTTGAAATCGCCAACCCGCATTGAGCAAGCGTGGTGATTAATGCTTTAACCTTCTCCGTGTGAGAAGAGGCCTTTGCTCAGCAGTGGGCCCTTATAGGCTGATGATGATGCATTGGAAATAATCGAAAATACCCATAATTACTATCCATTTCGGTTCCTAGCTCAAATTCTAGGTATAGGTAGGTCTCGTCCTGAATTGTCAAGTTCAACGTCATTTATAAACAAATAAGGCGCAAAATTAAAGTTTAACCACGTGATACTGGAACATTTTACTATCATTAAAAAACCTTCAGGGACCATCCAGAGCAGCATAATTATTCTCTAAACGGATATATTTTGTAAATTACATACATTCACACAGGTAACCCATTTTACTTAAAGAAATGTATGCGTTAAGGGTCATATTTATGTCTCCAAGCATTCATATACACGTTGCTTAGACGTGCCTCATTGGCTTTAACATACGGTTTCTTTTTCGAGACCAGAATTAAGAAAAATTAATGAATATCCATATATACGAGTAGCTTGGAATTTGGAGTTCTGATACATTAAGGAAAAATCCACCTTAATTAGAGGAATCAAGAACGATCGTTGATAATAATAGCAACTCACCAGACGGTTGTCACGTCACATGACTTAGACGAGTACTTGCACATCCTCAGAACATCATGCAGTGCTGGCAAAGTGAAGAACCTTACATAAAAGCGTAAAGTAAAAACAACTCTCGCACTAAGTAATTCGGCATAAATTCGCCTACACGCCTCGCTATCGTTGAACAGGACTTCGCGTCTAGCTAAATGTATAGGTTTGAGAACACTAGATTTTTGCTTTGAAAACAGTTCCCGTCTTTTATTCACAATAAAAAATACAACGATGTCAGTTGACCCAAACATAACTTTCTTAAACGCTGCCCTTGCGGATAGTCTTGTAAATTACATCTATTTAACTAAATCTCTAGAGGAAAACTTTCGTTAAATTACACGTGCCACGCAATTTAAACTGTGTTTAACTCAACTAACTGTGTTTATCTATGTAATTAATTAATGTCTAAGTCACTTGCCGCTCCATCGATTAAATTCACTGGTCCGTTTGAACCATAAATGAGGAGCAATATTAAGGCGTTAACGCTTGCTTCTATCGAGTTGACATTTTCCAATAATCTCTAAAAAGGTCAAGTAGGTGATAACGTTTTATTTAATAGTAAACGCGGCATAATTAACGCCCATTGACATGTTCACTGATTTATTAAAGATCGAGCTAAGGAGGATTATACTACTATATCTGCGTTGCATAAAAACGCTGGACATTTTTTCTTTATTCTTGATTGATTTTAATAATATCAAATAAATCCAACGAAAGTTAATAATTTTAATAAAGTACCCAAATGCTACCGAATTTGAATAGTGCAATATTAATTTTGAAATTATTGTTATAAATTTTAGAAATATCGTCATAAAAGGATTGACTATTTTTCTGTGACATTTAAATAAATAACGTTTCGCGCTTTAACAATCCTTCGATTCTTATTATTAAACAAGTTTTAATGTGATTTTGAATTTCGAACTTTACTTTTCTATTACAGATAACAATAAAAAGGAAATTGAAATTCGTAAATTAAATTGGTTTTGAGAGGGCGATTCTCACCTTCGATTTGATGAATTTTTGAAAGGCTGTTCTAATAATTTTCTTTTATTATTTTGATAAAAGGGTATGAATGATGGTTTCCGAGGGGTGATCCTCGAAATATTATGCTTATCTTTCAAATACCAGTGACTGGCTTTTGCACTATTACATTTAGAGTGGCAAGATAACCAATATATCAGGAAGGAGTTTAAGTTGTAAAATAAAAAAGGTTGGATGGTTGAGAAACTCCTGTAACTATTTGCTAGCAGAGTTATCTAATAATGATTATTCACAAACCAATTTTAATATTTCTTATCTTCAAATAAACAATAGATTAAATTGCACAGATAATTTAATTACAACATGCATATTTTGACAACAAACATTACGTTCAAAACTTACAAACTATTAGCATATCATTAACATAAACCCTTCTAAACAACAACTTGTCAAGTTAACCAGTTATTCTCTGAGTTGACATCACTATACACTTATGTGACATACTACGGAGATGTAGAGACATCGTTCTTGATTGCCACATGCCATAAAACAATTACTGCGGGCAATGTGGTGGTTAACAACTGGGTAGTGAGGGGACACTGTCTCATACTGTGACGGGAATTACAATGAGACTTTTCTCTTTGAATTAACTTAAAGTTGTTTTTTAAAAAAAATAGGTTAAATGAGAGTTTTATATGCTAGTCTGTATATTTACTAACTTTTGAATTTTCACGTTTCATATTTATACATAATATAATGACGCGTGTATTAACGCCAAAAGAATTATTATTTAAATACCTTGGTAGGAGTAGGGGTGACGTTTCGACCTGGTTGCACAGGTCGTGGTCGCAAGTAGACTGAAGATGCTCCTTGCATTCCCTCCATGCATTGTAACCTCATCATAATAGTATTGGGCTACATGACAGATTGAGTGAATACGAATAGGTCTAAGTTTGTATAGTATGACAGATATTTTTTTTTATGGGATTTGTCGGCAAATGAGCAGACGCATTACCTGATGGTAAGCAATCGGCGCCGCCCATGGACAACTGCAATACCAAAGGAGTTACGAGTGCGTTGCCGGCCTTTTGGGGATAGGGGTTGCGGTTATAAGGATTGGGAAGGAATAGGGGAAGGGGAGGGATTGGGCCTCCGGTAACCTCACTCACACGGCGAAACACAACGCTGTGGGTTGTTTCACGCTGGTATTCTGTGAGGCCGTGGTATAACTCCGGTAGATCCGACCCATTCGTGCCGAAGCTTGGCTCTCCCACAATATCGCTTTTTTGCAAGTAAAAACCATTACATGTCCTGAGTGAAGCGGGAAGGACTTTCTATGTCCTGCTCTTGGCCGTGGTTCATTATTGCGCTTGGCAAGCAACCTTGCTGAATCTGTAGCTTTACGGCATATCTAACTGTATTTTTCCCGTTAAAAATAAGCTACAGATAAGATAAGTAAACGTTGTATACTTTATTGGTCAATAAAATTGAATGTTGAAAGTTTGAAAATTGGAATATGATATTCCAAATTTCAAACTTTTTTATTGTAAGCTAATGTAAGTACATTGCTGTTGAATGTGTTGTCACAAACACATCTGCGTGTGATGTTCGTAATAAGTAAAATAGCATCGTGCGTGACCTTATTTTGAAATGAGCCTTCATCTCTTTCAAATTGAATTGTAATTTAAATGTATTTTTTGAACAATATTTCTATTTAAATCTGTCATATTTTTGTTATTATGTATGCTGTATTGTACAATTTTAAATAATGTAGATCAATTATCTGTATTGTTACTTTATAAATATAGTGTAAACAAATTGTAATTAAATTTACTTTAGGAGTATTATTGAGATAAGATCACCACAGACGGTCACCCATGAGGGCCAACGCCTGACAAGAGGTACACAGATCAAATGCATAGCGCGATTATGTTCCGAGAATCGCTATAGGGTAATTTTTAGTTAGACAGGGTTTTATACTTTCTGCCGCTATTGACTCCAACTGATGGATTTACAATAAGAGTACCTAATTTGATGATTTTTGACCATCACAAAGTTGTGTTAGGTACTGTATGTGCAGTGTCTTGGCCAATTCATAAAACATTGCTTAATTAAACATCATCTTTAATTTATTTCAATATTACCTCGCTTCGTAAAGTTGTTATTTGTGCTAAAAACTCAAAATTTAATGGCAAAACCCACCCTATTGTTCTTTCATTTTTCTTTTATATTACTATTACTTATTGAATGTTGGCATCGACAGGTGATAATGTAATCCGCATTTGCAGCATTCTTTAGGAAAATGGAACACCATTTCCTTCTGTTGGCTCCTCAGTTCGTTCAAGATATTCCGATACAGGTTACACACATTTATTATACATTATATTTCATGGATGGAGACGAGTAATGTGAACATTTGTAGGTACTGCATTCCTTTTAAACTGTGTGTATTATATGCAAACGTTATTTACATTTAAAGGGTATTATATCGGTTTACTAGCTCTTACCCGCGGCGTCGCTCCCGTAATTTGACTACCTACCCTACTCTACCTACCCTACCTAGCCTACTCTACTTACCCTACCTACCCTACTTTATCTACCCTACTTTACCTACCCTACTCTACCTACCCTACTCTTCCTACCCTACTCTTCCTACCCTACTCTTCCTACCCTACTCTTCCTACCGTACTCTACATACCCTACTCTACATACCCTACTCTACCTACACTACTCTACCAACCCTACTCTACCTACCCTACTCTACCTACCCTACTCTACCTACCCTACTCTACATACCCTACTCTACCTACCCTACTCTACCTACCCTACTCTACCTACTCTATCCTATCCTATGTCCTTCTCCTAGCTCTAAACTATCTCCCTGCCAATTTTCAGCTAAATCGGTTCAGCCGTTCTTGAGTTATAAGTGGTGTAACTAACACTACTTTCTTTTATATATATAGATATACAAATTATTATACTTTTTTGTCGTCTCAGTAAGACAAAAATACGACTTAAAACATTTTAAAACCTGCCCGTTAGTAGACATAGGCACTATGAAAGAGGATCTAGTCTATGCTATTTATATACAACCATTTTGTATAAAAAGAAGAAGAGATGTGTAAAACTCTTATTAACCTTAGGTACACACGTCAAGCAGGTCGTCTAATACAAATGGATAATAATAATAAATTTTCTTGGTAATATATCAAAATATCGTGAGGGACACAGGTCCAAATATCAAGTAATATAATATAAGAAAGCCGTAACCCCTTTAATCCAATATAATGTAACGGGGGTGTTGAAACATGCTTTATCTTGATAACATTTATGAGACACGTACACACATAAATTTCTAACGTCATTATTGCATTACTTTACCAGCCATCAAAAAATTAGGTTTAAAAACCGAACGCCATAAGAAAATGTTTTTAACATTTTATGGCTTTATGAAAAATGAAAAAGGACCGTTTGAGTTGGCTTCGTAATTTGAATTTTTCAAGTGGCAACCTGCTTTTTTAGGTTTCAGTTATTTTAATTAGATTATTAATCGTTTTTATTCAATAATTTAAAAGACTGAATTGATTTAAATTTAACATTTTACTTCAGATAATAATGTCAGAAATTTTTAGTAATAAAATAAAGTTACCTACATTGTGTGGCAGTAAAGTTAACACTTGGATATCTCTTGCGTTGTCAAGTCTATGTGACACAAAAAAATAGTTCTATATTTTTTTTGTGTCACATAGACTAATATTATATTTTACTAATATTCACCCCTCCCCCGTCGTCAACAACTTGAGGGTTGTATCTTAAAGCAAAAAATCCCCCCATTTAGAAACAACTAGGCACAAAACCGTATCTTTATTGCAACTGAAATTTATTCGCGTATCTAATATTCTTCTTCGATTGTATTACGGGCATTTTAGTCTTGATCCAGACTTTCTGACAACGCGATAAGGTTGAGAATCCCTAGAATAAATCGTAAAAGCAATTGCTGGAAGCATCAAGAGTTATATAGGAGCCTTGAAATGTTTGTACATGTCCTCATCCTCGGATTCTATACATTGGGTTAACAATATACTTCTGTAAGTATGTTGGTATGTACTTACAGTTAATCAGATGTTGAGATTTTCCTTTTGGTAAATATAACAAAATGTATTTTGACAACTCTCGGGTATCCCTATTCGTATCGAATGAATGATATTATGATTGATAACCTTTACAATTTCATGGAAATCTCTTCTGATTATGATGTTGTTAAGAATGTAGGTAGGCATGTACCTATGTGTAAGTATGACAGATGGACGCATTAAGCATAATAGAGAGCTATTATAATCGCTTATTTGGAAAATTTCTGCGGTAAGTAATTGTGCTTGTTGGTCTCATATTTTGCAGGTATTCCCAAACTCTTATTAATTATGAACTTATTGATAGCGACTGTGAACGTCAATTATCTGTTAGCGATTTACTTAAAACGAACGTATGTAAGTGTGGAAGAGCCGTGCTTCGGCATGAATGGGCCGGCTTATAGAAATCCGGCGTAAAACTAGGCTTTTATATCGGTGTGTGATTCACAATACAGGAGGATCCCCTGTCTCCCTTATTTTCAATCCCCAAATCCGTAATCCTTAAAACTTAAAACGCTGGCAAAGCATTTCTTACTCTATTGGTATTGCAAGTTCTTTGTGTATTCTCATCTGCCGACTAATTCCATGAAAAAAGAATCCAATTGAACTTATTTTAATATAGATTTAAATAGTAGATAGAGTTGAAATAAAAGAAATATTTATAATGATTTGAAATTCACTAAAGAAGCTCTGCAAACAGAAAACTAGTAGTAGTACTTAGTATAGACAGACTTATGAGTTGATAGAATAAGGTACCTTATTGCATGATACTGATAATAACTACCGAATTTGAGTGTATTTACTGTTGATATTACTTGTCTATATATAGTACT